CTTCCTGCTCCAATGCCACTGGATCTCGCTGGACTCACCCATGTACTTGGCATATGGCGTGTAGAGAGCTTGTCCTCCAGCCGCATCCAGGACCACCCCAGGCCCCTGACGGATCCCACAGCCGGGAAAGCCCCGCATGAGTCTGTGCCGTCCTCCCTGCAGCCTCTGATCTTTCCGTCAATACTCACAGCCCACGTCCTCAGGGCCCTTCGGATGCAAGTCACCCCTGTCCTCTCTGCCCTGCACTTGCTGTGTCCTCAGAAGCCACAACACTCCTCTCTCCCCTCCACCTTCCTCACGGTCCTCCACGCGGGGCTGAGCCGCAAGACGGGACAGGCGCCCTCCCCAGGCTGTGGTGTCTGTGTGAGGAGGCGGTGAGGGCCTGGGGGACTCGACTCACCTCAGCCCGTCTCCTCAGGGGGGGCGCCGCCATTGCACACTGTGGGCTGAAGCCGGGCGGGAGTAGAAGCCGCTGCAGGAATGGCGGTCGCTGTCCCGGGACTGGCGAGGGTTTCGGCGGTGACTCCGAGCTTCAATCCCACGTGTGAGCTGTGAGCACCACTGGAGGCTCCGACCATTGGCTGTGAGGCGGGGAACACCACTCTCCAGCCTTCTCCAGGGAACTCTGAGCCCAAGAACTCCAGACCGCCTGAGAAAAAAACGTGAACAGACAAACGCCGCCGGAAAGACTACCGGTCCCGCCCTACAGAACCGTCTGAACGGAAATGCGTTCTCTGAACCCCCATTGGCTCATCCGGGTGGCATTCCTCGCTTGGCCTTGTGGGCAATGTAGTTTCTCCGTTCTAAGGCCAGGGTGCAGTAATTCTCAGTTGATTCCTGACCTTGATTTAGGGGCAGAGAGCCCAAGAACACACCAACTATACTAGGGGTCCTCTAGGGCCTTCAGTGGAGGTGATGTCCTGGGCAAGTTTGTTTCTCCAGCACCTGCGTGGCTGGTTTTGAATATCTTTCTTCAGGACCTGCTCTTTCTGAATGGCAGGCATTGTTTCTTCATTCAGGACTTTTGGCATGTGTCTCCTAAAGGCCAAATGTAGCTGGGGGAGTTTGCTCAAGTCTCTGAGTAGATCTAACCTGCCTCCATTGAATTCATTATACAAAATTCATGTCACAAAACAGACACTCATACTCAAGAGCATCTTCTTCTGATACCATTCAAAGTGTCAGCTCTGCCTGGGCTGCAGTGTGGATAAGATGGCCAAGAGACATGTGAAAAATGCTCACTCAAAGTGACTGATCATCAGAGAGATGCAAATTAAAGCAACAATTAGAGACCACCTCACAACTGTCAGAATGGCTGTCAACAGCAAATCAACCAAGGACAAGTGCTGGGGAGGATGTCAAAAAAAGGAACCCTAGTACAACCCTGGTGGGAACGCAAACTGCTACCGCCATTATAGAAATTAGTTTGGAGTTTTTGCAAAAATTTTTTATATGGAACTGCCATTTAATTCAGTGATTCTACTCCTAGGAATATATCCTAAGAAACTTGAAACAATCAGATAGGATATAGGCAGCCTTCTGTTCATAACAGCACAATTTATAATAGCAAAGATCTGGAAACTACCCAAGTATCCACCAGTAGAATAGTGGGAAAAAAACTGCAGTACATTTATACCATGGAATACCATTCAGAAGTAAAAATAATTTCTTACCCTTTCACACAGCATGGAAGGACCTTGAAAGCATCACGCTAAGTGAAATAAGTCAGTCAGAGAAAGACAGTATCACCTGATCTCACTCATATTTGGAAACTAATTAACAAAAAAACTGATGAATGGAGTGGATTCAGAGACATGGAAGCATGGAATTACTTTAGAATCTTTGAGGGAAAGTGGGGAAGGGTAAAAAGAAATGTCCTCATGTAAGGATTAAACACACACACACACACACACACACACTAAAAACAAAGTCACCTGAGCCTTGAGCATTTTCTTCTGTTCTATGAAAGCAAGGGGAAAGCTGTAGCTTGCTGGGTCCTGGGTCTGCTCTACATTTGTGTTTATAAATTTGTCTTCCATCAGTTGAGTCCCTGGAAATGCTGATACCCCTTCATGTAACGTTCTCCTGCTTCACATGAGTCAATTGCTTTTGCTGTTGTTGTAAGAAATGTCCAAACTTGTGGAGACTTTTTCTAAGTTTATTTGACCCAAGTTGGCGACATTTGCCAGGAAGCAAAATAACAACAGGTTGAGTAATGCTCAGGAGAACGACAGTTTTGCACCTTTTTTTATACATTTTTAAAAAAATACAGCTCCAATGCCACTGGATCTCGCTGGACTCACCCATGTACTTGGCATATGGCGTGTAGAGAGCTTGTCCTCCAGCCGCATCCAGGACCACCCCAGGCCCCTGACGGATCCCACAGCCGGGAAAGCCCCGAATGAGGCTGTGCCGTCCTCCCTGCAGCCTCTGATCTTTCCGTCAATACTCACAGCCCACATCCT